ACTAATTTTTTATACTCATTTTTATGTGAAGTTAATTAGCCTTTCAAATACACAGAGATCCTTCTCCAGTTTTTGGGTAATGTTTGAAAATATGTCACCTTGCTATATAAGTTCTCTCTCTTTTCTCCTTCCTCACTTAATCTGGAGTTTATTTCTTCTACCACTGTCCTATTCAGTTTGGGTCCTGTTCATGTGGCTTTGTTCTGGATGGGAGTTTTGACTGATTGATTTTGAGTGTTTATAGTGCCTGGAGTTTCTATCCCCTTAAGAGTTTATTGTGGACTCTGTCACTCACATGCTACGGCAGTGAGCAAAACTCACTCTTTTTTACATACTTTTCTCAGTTTTTCCTGTTGTGTTGTAATATAGAAAGTCCCTGTTGGTTATTTTGGAGTTATTTTGTTCTGTGGCCCAGCAAATGCCCTGTTACTGTGCTCTACTTCTTCCCACACAGATGATAAAACCCACATAGATCTCATAACTATTAGTTCATCCACACCTTCTGGTATTTGGGGATTTTGTGCATGGGGTTTGGATTTTGCTATCTGATTGCCCAGATTTTATAAGGCAATTAGCAGAGATTTAAAATTTTAGCTGCTGTGTCACATCCTTCTTCCCAGAATTCTTAAACAAAATTTTTGAGGATTTTGTAACTTCTAGACCATGTTGGCTTCTGCTCTCAGGGTTAACATTATGACTGCATTAAATACAAACTAAACTATAGTTAAAAATTAACTATATAACGTATATTATCTTATTAATAACTAATAGGTTGTGGTCTAAGAGCCTTTCTGTGTCATCTACAACTAGATATTATAAAAACAATTTCTTATGTCTTTGATGACCTCTTGAATGCATTAGCTAGGGAAAAGATATGGTAGAAAGAAATACACACACACACACACAGACACTTATATATGTATACACATATATAAACTTTTATTATGATATAAATAATAAACAACTATATGTTTACAAATGCCAGCACTGCTAAGATCTTTAATATATATACATATATGTGTGTGTGTGTATGTGTGTGTGTGTGTGTGTGTGTGTGTGTATGTGTATAAAACAGCCTTATTGAGATACAGTTCACATATGTAGAATTCATTCGTTTAAAGTATACCATTCAGGGGCACCTGGGTGGCTCGGTCATTAAGCATCTGCCTTTGGCTCAGGTCATGATCCCAGGGTCCTGGGATCGAGCCCCACATTGGGCTCCCTGCTCAGCGGGAAGCCTGCTTCTCTCTCTCCCACTCCCCCTGCTTGTATTCCCTCTCTTGCTGTCTCTCTCTCTCTCTCTCTCTGTCAAACAAATAAATAAGATCTTAAAATATAAATAAATAAAGTATACCATTCAGTGGGTTTTAGTACATTCACAATTGTGCAACCATTGCAGCAAACAATTTTAGAACATTTTCTTCACCTCAAAAAGAACCCTATACTCATTAGCAGTTAATCCTCATTTGTTCCAAATTCCTCCTTTTCCTCCCCACTAGCCCTTGGCAATGACTAATAATACTTTCTTCTCTCTACATTTGCTTGCTTTATACATTTCATATTAATAGAATCATACAATATTTGTGACTTTTTTTTTTTTACTGAGCATGTTTTCAAATTCATTTATGTTGTAGCATATATCAGTACTTCATTTTTTCCCCAAAGATTTTATTTATTTCAGAAAAAGAGAATGTGTACAAGTGGGGGAGGGGTAGAGGGAGAAGCAGACTCCCTGCTGAGCAGGGTGTCCAATGCAGAGCTTGATCCCAGGACCCTGGGATCATGACTTGAGCCAAAGGCAGACACTTCACTGAACCACCCAGGCGCCCCCTTTCACCCAAATCTTTATTTAAATTCTAGTTAGTTAATACACAATGCAATATTGGTTTTAAGAATGGAATTCGGTGGTTCAACACTTACATGTAACACCTAGTGCTTATAACAAGTGCCCTCCTTAATACGCATCACCCATCTAGCCCATCCCCCACCCACCTACCTCCATCAACCCTCAGTTTGTTCTCTATTATTAAGAGTCTTTTATGGTTTGTTTCCCTCTCTTTCTTTTTTTCCTTCCCCTCCCATATGTTCTTGGGTTTTGTTTCTTAAATTCTATGTATAAGTGAAATCATATGGTATTTATCTTTCTCTGACTGACTTATTTCATTAGCAGAATACACTCTTGCTCCATGTTGCACCATGTTGTTGCACATGGCAAGATTTCATTCTTTTTGATGGCTGAGTAATATTCCATTTGTGTGTGTGTGTGTGTGTGTGTGTGTGTGTGTGTGTACACGTGTGTGTGTATACATATATATGTATATACACACCACATATATGTATATACACACCACATCTTCTTTATCGTTTATCAGTTGATGGACATTTGGGCTCTTTCCATACTTTGGCTATTGTTGATAATGCTGCTATAAACATCAGGGTGTATATATCACTTTGAATCTGTATTTTTGTATCCTTTGGGTAAATACCTAATAGTGTAATTGCTAGATTGTAGAGTTTCTATTTTTAACTTTTTGAGGAACCTCCAAACTGTTTTCCAGAATGGCTGCACCAGTTTGCATTCCTATCAAGAGTGCAAGAGGGTTCCCCTTTCTCTGCATCCTCAACAACACCTGTTGTTTCTTGTGTTGTTGATTTTAGCCATTCTGACAGGTATGAGGTGGTATCTCATCATGGTTTTGATTTTTCTTTCCCTGATGATCAGTGAAGCTGAGCATCTTTTCATGTGTCTGTTAGCCATTTGTATATCTTCTTTGGAAAAAATGTCTTCTTTAAAAGGTTTCTTTGGATAAATGTCTATTCATGTCTTCTGCCCATTTCTTAACTGGATTATCTGTCTTTTGGATGTTGAGTTTGATAACTTTTTTATAGATTTGGGATACTAACCCTTTATCAGATATGTTGTTTGCAAATATCTACTCCTATTCCATAGGCTGCCTTTTAGTTTTTGTTGATTGTTTCCTTAGTACTTCGTTTCTTTTTATTGTTGATAATATTCCGTTGTATGGACGTATCACATTTTATCCGTTCATCACTTGATGAACATTTGGATTCTTTCCAATGTTTTTCTAGTATGAACAATGCTGCTATGAACACTTGTGAACCAGTTTTTGTGTAGATGTGTGTTTTTATTTCTCTTGGGTATATGTCTTTTTCAGATGTATGATTTCTTAAATATGTTCTCTCTTTCTGTGGATTGTCTTTTTACTTTATTGGTAATATTTTTTGAGGGGACAAAGTTTTTAATTTGATGAAGTCTAGTTTCTCTATTTTTCTTTGTCACCTGTACTTTTATCTAAAAATGTTTTGCCTGACTCAAGGTCACAAAGATGTATTCCTATATTTTCTTCTAGGAAGAAAATTTTCCTTTACTTCTGTATTTTCTTCATACACACACTTAGGTGTGTGGTCTGTTTTTTTTTTGTTGTTGTTGTTGTTGTTGTTGTTTTTGGTATATCATGTGACAAAGGGGTCTAACTTAATTTTTGTTCGATTTAATTTTTTCATTTCTATTATGATTATTTCTTTGGTATACAAATTGTCTCAATTTTGTTCTAACCCATTTGTGATCTTTCAACTTAAATTTTTAAATTGATTTATTACTTAAATGCATTGTGCTCATATGATTAGGAATATATGACTACTTAGAAATTCAAAGAGAATAACATTATGGTCTAGCTATAATGTAGTCAGTGTTTTTATTCCTTGTGTGTCTGTAAAGAATGAATTTTCACCAGTTGTTAGGCATAATGTTATATCTCTTAGATCAAGCTTGATAAATTAGACATTTATATCTTTTGTATCCTGGTGATTTTTTTCATTGACCCAGTGTTAGTTAATAACTGACATTGAATTGTGATAAATTGTGTTCAATTGAAATGTGTTAAAATCTTCTATCACCAAGGTGGATTTCTGTTTCTTCTTTTAGTTCTTTTTTTTATGTTTAAGTTTTTCTTAAACATTTTTAAAAAGATTTTATTTATTTATTTGAGAGGAAGAGAGAGGGGGTGTGTGTGAGTAGAGGGGGAGAGGAAGAGGGAGAAGCAGACTCCCTGTTGAGCAGGGAGCCTGATTTGGGACTTGATTCCAGGACCCTGAGATCATGACGTGAGCTGAAGCCAGATGCTTAACTGACTGAGCCACCCAGGCCCCTCTTATGTTTAGTTTTAACTTATGGAAAGTTTCAAGCATACACAAAAGGAAGGAGAATAGTGTAATCAATTCCTATTGCTCTCTCATCTTTAACTTTTGTGAATATATATGGCCAATCTTATTTCATATATATTTTCTCTACCCTTTCTTTTATGCTCTTCCAGTATTTTAAAGCAAATCCTAGACATAACTATACTATTGTTTTATAGACTCTGTGTTTAGATTTATTCTTATATTTACCACAGTATTTGCTCACCATTCCCTTTTACATTTTCACCTATCTTGGAAGTATTTTCCTTCTGCCCAAAACGTATATATAATACAGTATCCTTTAGTGAGATCTTAATGGTAAATTTTATCCATTTTTGTTTCTTTGAAAAGTTTTTAATTTTGAGCATCTTCTGGAAAATAAGTGCAGAATTCAAGTTGACAGTTACTCTTTCTGAGCTTTTTGAAGGTATTGTTACCATGTCTTTTAGCTGCCATATTGTTGAGAAATAAATAGAAAGTCTAATTTCTTTTTCTTTATAGGTAATTTCATTGGCTTCTTTAGTGACTGTCTCTTTTTCTTTGGATTTCTGTAGTTTCCCCATGATAAGACAAATGAAATTGTGTCACAAGGAATTAAATGATAACAATTTTGAGTTATTAAGTTTAATTCCTTAATATTCTATTTCTAAATGGTGATTAGTGGTCTGTAAACAGTCATATAAGGAAATATATTTTATCTTAAAAAATCTGGTGAATACTTTCGGAGTACATGATTCTTAATTTTTCAGCTTTATAACTTTCTTCTCAAGATCATGTGTATGTACATGATGTTTCTACAGCACTATTGGAAATAATTATGAAAAATGGAAGCACTGCTGGAAATAGCCCTCACTGCCGAAAACCATCAAGTTGTGGTGATCAAAACAAGCCCAATTGTACAAAGGACAGCACATCTGGTAGCAGTGAAAGTGGAAAGGGCTATACCAAAGACCAAATAGATGGAGTTCTCAGGTAGGGATAAATACGACTTATATCTCACCTATAATTGATACTAACGTACTTTTTGATGTTTTAACACCTAAAAAAATGTGTGAACTATAATTTAATGGAAGAATTGGACTCTGGGTGTCTTATGCTTTATGTTATTTATCAAATCAGTCTATAAAGTACCAACTCTATGGAAGGTTTCATCTTTTAAAGTAACTATAAGGCAAAAGTTCCTTCCAGATATTTTTTCCTTGGGGAATTATTGTTTCAATTTTCTGATGCAGTATGATATTTAGATAACTGTAATAAAGGAGGGAAAGAATTGTTTTGTCTTTGTATACAGGAAAGTAGGAGAATTTCATATGAAAGGAAAATTGAGGACAAATAGCAACAGCATTTTCAAATTCCTACTTGTATTAATGTAGCACAATTTTTTTCTATTTCTTTAAGGCCTGCATATATATATGTGTATATATATATGCACATATATGTATATATATATACACATATATATGCAAGCAAACATACTAATGTGTTCTTCTTTTAATATTTTTCCTACTGTCATTATTCTGCCTCTGTGTTTTTAGTTTTACCTCATGTTACACTCTACTTAAAGTCAAAGAATTAGGTAGAGTTAGAAAATTGTGAACTGGGTTTTGCGGATCTGATGTGACTGATCTTATAATTAAGAAAAGATTTTCTGCTGAGGGTTGCTGGGGGGAGGGGGGTTGGGAGAAGGGGGTGGGGTTATGGACATTGGGGAGTGTATGTGCTATGTTGAGTGCTGTGAAATGTGTAAACCTGGCGATTCACAATTCTGTACCCCGGGGATAAAAATATATTACATGTTTATAAAAAATAATAAAAATTTTAAAAAAAAAGAAAAAAGATTTTCTGGAAATAAAATGAACCTTTCAGTATGAAACGCAACAGAAAATGCTGTTTTGTTTTCTGCTACAGCTTAGGGAAGCTGTATTGATATTGTACTGATGTTGCTCTCCAGGGAAACTAAAGTGTAAGGTTGAAGGACTCTAAACAGTGATTAATCAGATAATTCACATGGAGAATGAATTGTAGTACAGTGAACTAGCTCAAGTGAAAAGCAGCTAAAACTAGATTGTTTTTCTCTTTACGTTTTCTTACCTATTTTTCTTCTGATCTTATTTCCTTTTTTCCCCATTGCTTTTTAGTTCATTCTTTTTTTTTCTTACCATAATTTAGAATTGAAGTCATTTGAATCAAATATCAATGTATTTACATTTTTCTTTTTCCCCTGCATATTTAGATGCTAAAGTTTGATTGTAACATTTTATCTGAGTCTGGCCACAGATGTTGGTGTTTGGTAGAAAAAAAGAAAAGAAAAAAGACTTCCTAATCATGGTGAAGCCATGCTAAAGGGTATTTGATTAGCATGAATGGTAGCGAAGCACTTTTGGGTATAAGTTAATTTTGCTAACTACTTTTATAACTAGTGTTGGGTGAGAGTTGTCTGAATATGTGAGATAAGTGAATGAAAAAATGGATACTTCCTTTTGAATTTCTTCAAGAAAAAGCTTTAATTAAATGGTGTGCTGAAATGTGTTCTAGGAAACCACATCTATTTGAAAACAAATTGTATTTTCTTCTAAAATTTACTTCCTCTGGGAGAGTATGTTCTTAATGAAAGACCTAAATAAAGTTAATTGTATTGTATGTGATTTCTGTTTAGAATCATTTTGTGATTAAAGAAAAGACAAAGAACTACTTTTATATTTTGAAATATCACCAAAGAACAGAGTTGAAAATTTTGGAGAATAGTATCCCCTAAATTTGGTGCTATTTTTTAAAAATCTTTTTTTCTTTGTTTCCTCTATTCTCCCCTTGAAATGAAAAGAGCAGTAGTTCAACGTATGGTAGAAATAATGAAGGAAGAACAGTGCTTCTTTTTACTGTCTCTTGGAATATTTAGGCAGGATATCTTGAGAATGGAATAATGAAAGATGATGGTGGGTACAGATACACTTTGTATATGGCCAGATTTGGAAAGATCGAAAGAAGTTGAGGGAGTTTCTGTCTGTTGGCTTCTATATTCCCTGTGAAACTAGAGATGAGGTTATCATCTGAGAGAAGAGAAAAGGTGAGACTGGAAGCCTGAAGAGAGTTGTAAAAGTGTGGGAAATTTCCAGAGGGGAAAGGCAAAGGAAATGGAAGGATTGCCTGTTAGCACTGAGGACCAGCCAAATATCAAACCATGAATTCTTATTGGGTATAAGTATTAGCTTAATAGTATAGCTGTATTAGAAATTGTTTCTCTGGTCAATAATTTTCTTATTCCTTTTTATTAAATGCAGTTTTTTTTTTTCTTTTGAGGACTAAATGTTATTGGAACATTCTTTAATAGAATCCCTGAGTTATTCAGAGTACTTCAGTTGATAACTTATATGAGTTGCTTAGCTGAGTTATGTAACATTTACTCATTATATAAGCCTTCATAAGTGTTGCTTAAGTGAGGTAACAGGTCACCAGCAAACACTTAGATGCTGTATGGTTTTGTTTTTTGTTTTACCTATACACAGGGGATTTTTTCTGAAGAAAGCCATGTTATCTTGTGTTAGCAGGATTATGCAAACAAGTTGCTCAGTGACAATTTGGCTCAATGGGAAAAGCCGTGCAATAATACTGCATCCATTGCATAAGTTAGAGCTAGTTTACAGTAGGACTGAAGAAAAACTGTATGACTTTGTAAAGATAATGTTCTGTGTAACTAAACACTGTTTTTGAGTTGAAATATATTGAAAAATTATTGAGAAGTGGCCTGGATCTAATTTGAAAAAAAGCCCATCTTTTATTTTAAAAACTTACAAGATCATTGTAAAAGCATTAACAGGGTCATCATTCTGTTTATCAATTAGGAACACTTCTGTACAATTATTATGTCATTTGAATTGTGGGGATTTGATTAGGATTTGATTTAAGCTATAGTTCTTGAAATGAAAAGAAATCATTTTGCTAAACTTATGAAATAAATAATCCTTTGTCTCAAGAATAAATAAGTATTTCCCTGAACACCAATTAAATTTGGAGTCTATTTAAATGATCAGCTCTAACATGCAAAAAAGAATTGAAAGAGGACCTTCCTGCCCTACTCAGTATGCATTCGTGCACATAAAAGAAGACATAGGGTCTGAACTAGATGACTTCTCCATTGCTGAGCTTGCAGTTAGTCTGTCTGGCCTGAATGTACATTATTTCCTTCCAGGGTAGGTAATAGGTTACCTCTTTTTAATTTCTTTATCTCTTTTTAAAAAATTCTTTGGTGAAGATGGAGAAGATTTGACTCTTTGAGTAAGGAGTGAACTGTAGAAAGTATGACAAGTGCAGTTAATTGGTGAAGGAATGATAAATAGAAATATGAATTAAAATAAATATATGAATGGTAATTTTTCATTCAGTTGTGAAAAATTAGGTAAATGTATGTGGAGCATTACTTGAAATATATAGTGGTCTTCAGCTGGTGCATTGGTGATTTCAACTTTATACCTCTGCTAGCTTCTCAAAAAAGTTCTCTTCTAATATAATGAAAAACTCAGTGCAGGGAGGATATGGTAAAACTAGCTACACTTAAGAATTAGTGAAATAATTGTCTTCCTACCTTTTTTCTCTTTGTGACAATTCTTTTCTTTTTTTAAAGATTTTATTTATTTGAGAGAGCATGGGGGGGTAGACAGAGGGAGAGGAAGAAGCAGACTCCCCATCTTTGTGACAATTCTTAGCTTTATGACTCATCTCTAGAGGATTGTGAATTCCAACCTAATTTCCCTACACTATCCAGCAGTCCTCTCTTGGGCTGCCTTTTTCTATTGCCTAGACTTTTATGCTTAGGAAATCTCTACAGAACAATTTTTAGAGGGTTAATCTGGTTATAATAAATCATCTTATGCATGTAAACCAAGTAATAGTGACTAGAATCGTTTAGTGTTTTGTTTATCACTTCCTTTTGTTTTCTGCATTCAGATATTATCTGTCATATTCACAACTCTACTCTATTCCTTCTCCTCTTCTCCTATGTTCTCCTCTATTCCAAAGTGATGTTTGGTGCCAACTTCATTTTTATTATAGCACTTCCCACCTTTGGCTTTTGGATCCTAACCATTTCTGCCCCTATAGTTGGACCTATTCATCCATCTGTCCATTCATCATCCATCCGTTCAACACATATGGTGAACAAAACATAATCCTTGCTTTCAAAAGACCCGTAGTCTACAATAGAAGACTAGTCAGAAAAGGTAGCTCCAGTACGCTGTGGTAATTGCTGGGAGAGGGTTCACATCCAGAGGTTTTTGAGGGAGATAGAAAAGGAACACCAAACCTAGTCTTGAGGAATAAGAGTTCTTTTTTTTTTTTTTTTTTTTAAATAAAGATTTTATTTTTTTGACAGAGATCACAAGTAGGCAGAGTGGCAGGCAGAGAGAGAGGAGGAAGCAGGCTCCCCGCTGAGCAGAGAGCCCGATATGGGGCTCGATCCCAGGACCCTGGGACCATGACCTGAGCCTAAGGCAGAGGCTTTAACCCGCTGAGCCACCCAGGCGCCCTGGAATAAGAGTTCTTGAGGAAAGGAAAGGCTAAGTTGAGGTCTGAAGAAATTGTAGAAACTAAATAAGAAGGGAGGCAAAGAAGGCACCAAAACCAACATTTGAAAATACCTGTGAGAATAGTCTGTTTAAACAGTGATTGGAAAAGCAAACAGAAAAGAAGAGGTGGGTTACTCTGATGTCTGAAGGACTCATTTTCCTTGTTTTAATTTCTGAGATAGCAGGATTTTCAAGTCAGACAGACTGAGGTTTGAATCCTTACTTGTGAGGCCTTTCCTAATCATCCTATTTAGAATAGCTGGCCTCCCCGTCCATTCTCTCATCTCCTTTGTCACATTAGTTTTTTCTAAATATTTATCACCATGTGATATACTTTATATTTTACTTATATAATTTGTTCATTGCTCATCCCTCTTCCAATTGTAAATTTAGTGTGAGCAGGGATTTTTCTTTTTACTGTCTTATTCACCATTAGCATCTGAAACAGTGTCTAGCAGAAAGTAGATGATCTGTAAATTTTTACTGAAGAAACAAATTTCAGTTCCCATCTATTACTTGGTTATAGGACTTTTGGCAACTTCCTTAACCATTTTCAGCCTTGATTTTCTCATTGGTTAGATAGAAACATCTTCCTGATGAGGAGTAAGTGAGACAGTTTGTATAAAATAAGCAACATAATAAGATTCTGCAACTCTCTGTATGAAATCTTTGTAGACCAGATACAGTTTGGAATTCAGAATTGCTCCTATTTTAGAAAGGTAATAAGGAGAGTATATTATACATAACATAATAACATTTAACATCTGGCAAACAGCCCATTACTTAATAGTAACATTTCTACAGCAACATGTAGAAATACTCACACTTAAATGGGATAATGAAAACTCTATAGGAACTTCATATCCCTTCAGGTCAAATTTTGCCTCTAAAAGAGTTCAAGTTAGGTTTTTGCAGTCAAATTATAGAATAACTTTCATTTTTCAGAGCTTTATGGATATTGGAGCATGGATATGTGATTGTGGACCTGTGCCTGACACACAGTAGGTGTTCTATAAATGTCCCCTTTCCCTTTTTCTCTATCACATAGTTTCTAAACAAATCTGGGAGAATGGGTCTCTTCAAAGGCAGGAATCATTCTGTTTTATTCACTAATATATCTCAAGTGCCTAGAGCACTGTGACATAATTGGTGCTCCATAAATATTGTTGATTAACTAAAGGAAATACCACGTTTATGAAATAAAGTTGATTGTTAGTATTTATTAAATATCTAAAGTAGAAAAAAACAATTTTAATTATTACTACCATAAAAACTGCGTAAAAGACTTTTATTGATAGGTGATTATAAAAAAATTTCTCTATCTTAAATGTGTCTTTTCTTTTTACCTTTGTTCATTTGACAAATGTTGAATGTTTTCATTGTAAAAGGAGAGCTAAGGCTTATTTATTTCAGAAATACTTACTGAGAATCTACCCTGTACCAAGCACTATCATGGCTTATAGTTTCAGTAGTAAAATAAGATCAGTTTTGTATCTTTCCTTTGAGAACTTCTAGTCATTGCAATTCTTTAGCTGTCGGTGAACAATAATGCCTTAGATCTTTTCACCTGTCACTACTTTAAGCTACTCACACATGGAACACATCCAAAGTCATAAAGCACTCCACAGAAAATATTTAAAATGTTACTGTATTTTAGTGAAGGAAAATTATTAGGTTTTAGGAGAATATTAGTATTTAGAAGTATTAATGTTTTCTGCTCCATTCAGAGTATTTTTTTTTTTCCTTAATATGCTTTAAAGACTCTGGGCTTAAACCATTAACATCTTTAATTAGCTATGTAAGTAATCTTCAGAAGTATGCTAATCATAATGAAAATTGGGTCTAACAACCATTTTTGAGTCCTGTGATCTATATTATTATGAGATTTTCTTTTTCTTAGACGGACACAGATGAGTTCTCTTTAGTATAGCAGAGCTGAGTTAACTTGCCTTGACATTTAAACCATAAGGTATTTGTAATTGTTTTACATGCACTAAACTATTGCTTTGATATTTGGTAGGTCTACGTTATGTGACAACAAAAATCTTGGAATGCTATAACATACTTGTGAAGAGTTTTGGAATTTCTTTGTGCACTTAAAAATTCTGTAAAATTGTTCTTGTCCTCTCATTTTAGTTTCAGTGTGTGCTCTGTCCTTCATCCGTGATTGTTAAGGGCTTTGCTTTACTTCTCTAGTTGTGATAAAAAGCACCAAGGACATTCTCATGGCCAACTCTCCTTAGACTGGAAAGAGGTTAAAGGAATGGTCTGTGATCAAAAAAGATATTGAAGCAATAGCCTTTGATGGGATAAGCTATCATTTGGCACTGAGAAAATAATCCACAGACAGTTCTTTCTACTATTCTAATAAATAAATAATTAGACATATTACATGAAGTTCTTCCTTGAAATTTACATTATAACACACTCTTTTGTTCACAGCATAAACAAATGTAAAAATTACTATGAAGTACTTGGAGTTACCAAAGATGCTGGTGATGAAGATTTGAAAAAAGCTTATAGAAAGCTTGCTTTGAAGTTTCATCCAGACAAAAACCATGCACCTGGAGCAACAGATGCTTTTAAAAGTAAAGTAAACCTTTAAAGCAATTTTACTAAGCTCTTTTTAGAACCCACTTTACAGTGTTTTCGAATATTAAATTCTGCATTTACGCTGGTACATTTAGAAGCCAGCATAAGTAAGGTCCTCAAAATCCTTTAAAACTTTGCTATTAATTGGTTATGCCAAGAGCCAAATAAATGCACTGTGGCTCCACAAAAGCAAAATGCCAGTTTGGGCAAAATCCTAAGTAACTTTTCTAGATAATCATGCATGCTTTCTAGTTTGCCACACACTGGTAGTGTGGTGGTTATACACAAGCTTCTAGTGTATTACCATCTGTTTCCAAAGGGAACTAAAAATACAGCTTTTGCAAGTTTTTAGGGTAATAGAGACTGTCTAGAATTGGAAAATTGCTTGGAATTTTCTGCCTCGTGTTCTTATATTTCTGATAACTGGCCAACTTTTGCATTTTCTTATATGTGGTTTTAACTAATGTGATTTTTGTTTTGTTTTGTTTTGTTTTTAAGAATTAGTTTCTTTGGGCTCCTGGCTGGCTTAGTTAGTGGAGCATGCAGCTCTTGATCTCAGGGTCATGAGTTCAAGCCCCACACTGGGTGTAGAGCTTATTTAAAAAAAAATAATAATAATAATTAGTTTTTCTCCTTTTTCCTATTCATTTTTCTTCATTTTCTTTCTTAATATTATTTCAGGGTTGGTTTGGGGTTTTTTGCCAATTTAGTAAATAAATGTTAGAGAGTTTATTTTTATAATTTTGTATTTTATTACATACAATTCATAATAGCTTATAATTCACTGGAAAATGCTTATATTTGTGATTGTTCCTTTTTTTGAATTTGGCATATATAGAGCCCACATCCAGTGTTTTCAGTGAAGTTCTGGAGTCTTGGAATAATAGGAAGGAAATACTAATTTTTAAAATGCTCCTGGGGCACCTACGTGGCTCAGTCAGTTAGGCGTTTGACTTTTGACTTAAGCTCGGGTCATGATCTCAGGGTCCTGAGTTGTAGCTCTGCATCTGGCTCCATGCTGGGCCTGAAACATGCTTAAGATTCTCTCTCTCCCTCTGTCATTCCCCCCACCTCACACACTCTTTTTCTCTAAAAAAAATAAAATAAAATGAAATGCTCCTAAAGGATAGATGATTTCATTGGTCTTTCACAAAATACTGTTTAAAATGTTTCCAAAACAGTTTTATATCTTGAAGGAAGTTGCCAAATAAAATATATTCAGGCAATTATTAATGTGTTTCAATTAAAGCAATTGCCAAAGGGGTGCTGGTGGAGGTAAAATATCACTGTGACAGTGAGAACCTTCTCTTTTGTTTCCTTAAGTTAAAAGTGGCATGTTGAAAGTACTGAAAATGTTTCTTCACTCAAAAATACTAACTTTAGCACGTTTCCCCAAAAGTTAAAAAAATTTTTTCAAAAAAAAAAATTTTTTTTCACATTATGAATTAAAATCATTTAATTTAAAATTGTTGGTGTTTTTAAATAGTGAAAAACATTTAGGTAGTGAATTTTTGCATATTTGTGATCCGCTATGTGATTTCAGTATTCTCCATTAATGTTAAAAATGTTAAACTGCTTTCTCTGACTCCTGTATTTAAATCATTTGGCATTATTAGTCTTGGGATAACAGTTAGCGGACCTCCCAATATTTTTACATCTTATGTATTTTGAAGAGGTGAGCAGCATAAATGTCACCCGAGCTAGACATTCGGAAGGGGCTTTTTTACAAAGGTGATTATGCTTTGATGTGGTACATTTCAGAGTCTAATGCTCTACTTTGTACACTGGAAACTTAGTATTTATCAACATGCTGGGAGGTGGTTCATCTCTAGAGAAGAGGCTCACATTATTCAATACACAGGAGGTTATCTGTAAATCAGAATACTAATTTATTAATCCCAAAGAGGATCAGAATAGAGGTTGGTTGATGAGCCCATTTTTCATTGAGTGGAAACTATATAGAAAAACTGTGTAATCCACAGATGCTTGGTGAGCAAAGGTAGTTAATTAGAAAGTATTACAGTTAGTGTCATCATTCAGGAATAGGTTTCATTTATTCAGCACACAGGGTCTTTTCTTAATCTTCTGAATCATCTTATTTTATTTAACCAATTAATCCCAACATCTGTTTTTCGGATACCAAGCTATTTATTTTAAGCACATACTGTAGTTTTTTCTTTTGTATGAAAATGGTATAGATTGATTGCTCTGTAACTCCAAAACACTTTTTACAGAAGATGGAAACCACTTGCTTTTTATTTCTTCCAAGAACAGAGAAAGAGGAGGTAATTGCTGTAGGGAGTTAAATTAGGTAAAGAGATATTTTCATTTGTGTGTGTTTTGTTTTGTTTTTTAAGTAAGCTCAGTGCCCAAAGTGGAGCTTGAACTCCTGATCAAGAGTCACATGAAAAACAAAACAAAACAACTGCTGAGCCAGCCAGGTGTCCTTTCATTTGTGTGTTTTGTAAAGCTTTAAAAATTAAGAGGTTGCTATCAAGGAGGGTAGACTAAATGAACTCTTGAGTTCATGTGGCTGTTTGTTCTTTAAAGTAAAGATTGTAACTCAAGTTTCTCAAAGCAGGGAATATTTAAATAAAATCACATCTAGAGAGTGACTTGCATAGTATATATGAACACACTTTTTAAAAATATTTGAATGAAATGGATCCCTTTCCTTCTGTCTGACATGGATGTTTTCAAAATATACCTTGTCTCCTCTATCTTCAAAGACAAATACTTCAAAGTATTTCATAGGCCGTTTGAATAGTACATGTGCCTGTTATACACATGAGAGTAATAACAAGGGGTGTGGTTTAGCTGTTTACGTGTTTACTTGATAAATAATAATGGATCAGTTGCTATAACCTGTGTTAGGTCTGGTAGTTCAATACTCAACATCTGGGCTAGTTTTTCTAGAGAAATATAATGTCTTAGTAAGAATTTGTAATTCATTAAGGAGAGAAAATTATCACACAGAATATTTGGAATAATAGTAATACCTAACATTTGACAGGCATTTTATAGTTTTTCATTCCTATTTTTTCATTTAATGCTTATTAAAAATCTTGTGAAATAGTCAGGGGACTAGTGTCATCTGCCTTTCTCCAGTAAGAAAATTGAGGACCAGAGAGATTAACTGATTTACCCAGGATCTCCCAGAAGACTGAATATAATTAAATACCAAAACATTGAATAAAGATATTTGAAGAAAAACAGAAAGATAAAGTAGATTATAATCAGAGTAATTAGAGAAGCCTTCATATAATAGGTGAGAATTAAGAGATTTTTTTGGATATGAGTGTGATTAGAGAAGAGAGAAAATGACAGAAATTTGAGTATGATAATGAGGCAAGTGATTTAAAAATCAGTGAGGACTTCCACTTTCAGGAAGATGGAATAGATATACTTTTCCCTATTCCTTGCACAAAGTATGATTGAATATTATATGTAAAACAAAATGAACACTTAAAAAAAAGCTTTGAAAGGTGGAAAGAGGAAGGTAAATGAGCTAAGAAGAACTACATGGCAGTAAGTTGCTTGGGTTTTCATTTTGCCTTTTATATTAGACTAGGTGCTGGAGAAGCCTAGAACTACAACCTAGAAATACAAATAAGCACAGATAAACAATCCCCAAGAAAAGCCTACTTTCTCTAGGTAAACCAGGAAGGGGGCAACCTAGTAAGGTAGAAAATTTTTAAGTAATAACCATCCAGTACAGCTAAATATCAAAGAAAAAAACCGTGGTCCCACCCACACCCAGATCAGCAAAGGCTGAATAAAGAACCTAGCCTGTCACCCTCTCTCGGCCGTAATAAGATGCCTTGACATGCCTACCCTCTTTACTGAGGTGGTAACAGAGATGATCAAGTAAGGAGCTGGTAATTCTGCTTGACAGTAACAAGGTGTCCCTCTCCCTCCCCACTGGGGTAGTGTCATAAATGGCCTAGTGGGGAATTAGGACTTTTACCACCATTTAGAGGTAAACAAAGTCATATCCTTGTGGTGTCAATGAAGCTACCTGGGGGACAGTAATATGGCACCCCTACCTACTCCTACCAGCCACAGGGTGTCATTGGAGGCTTGATGGAAGGCTAGGAATCTCATCTCTGCTCAGCAGTAATGAGGAGCTCCTCTTTTCAGATGTCATCAGAGGCCAAGGGGGAAACCTGAACTTTTATTCCCAAGGTGGTATTTCTTCTTCCTGTACCAGAGTAATGTCAAAGGAGGACAGTTAAAAACAGGAGTTTTAGTTAGGTCCAGAGTCTCATAAGAGAGCAGCTCAAGAGGGTATGTGCTATGGTGAGTGCTGTGAATTGTGTAAAACTGATGAATCACAGAACTGTACCCCTGAAACAATACATTATATGTTAATTTTAAAAATCAGAAAAAAATAATAGCTCAAATGACCACACTTCAGTAGAAAATCACTTGTCATACTAAGAATGAGGAAAACCTCAAACTAAATCTAAAAAGTCATAGATGTCCACATGGAGATGACAGAGAAGTTAGAAGTGCCTAACAAAGATTTTAAAGCATCCATCATAAAAATGCTTCAATAGGCAATTACAAATAGGCTTTAATAAATATTGAAAAATAAGAGTCTCAGCAAAGAAATAGAAGATTGTGCAAATAAACAAAGGGTATAAAGAATCAAATGGAAATTTTACAACTTAAAAAAACAAAACAAAAATAAAATCTAGCAGTGAGTGGAATAAATAGTTAAATGACAGAGGAAAGAATCAGTGAACTGGAAAATAGAAGAATAGACATTATCTAATCTGAACAGCTCCAGGGACAAGTGGGACTATGACAGTGTTTACTGTTTATATCATTGAGGTCTTAAAAGGAGAGGAAGAAGAGAGCATAGCTGAAAAGGTACTCAAGAATAAATAAGTAAATAAAGATTGAATACTTCTTATACTTGGTAAAAGATACAAGCTTACATAATCAAGAAACTGAATGAACCCCAAATAGGTAAAGCCCCCAAAATCCATAC